ATGGGGGGGGGCTGCCTGTGGGGGTCACGCCTAGCGAGGCATGGGCGGAGGTGGAGGGGCTGTGGCGGGGAGGCTAGGGCAGGTCGGTGTGGTGGCTGTTACCCTAGCGTTACATGTTGTATTTGTTTGGTGGAGTTGATTAACCAGCGAGCAGGAATGAACTCTGAGGTCTTTCAAATATCTGAATCTAAATTGTAGTAATAGAGATTTGTGCTCTAGTTATGCGATGGTCGTATTTGTGATCTCAATAGAGAAGATTTTTGGAAACAGAAGTGTCTCTAAAACTACTTATGGGAGGTGCTCAGATACAATGGTAATGGTTGTGACTATAAGAACCTAGCTAGATCGGTGAATAATTGCGAAGTACTCTGTAGTGTGTAACTAGCTATTACAGTGTTGTAGCATTAACACTTTTTTTTAAAGAAAAACATGTTTATATTTTTAATACCCAGTGATGTAGGTTAGATGTATACTTGAAATGGCTGGCTTTGTTCATCTTTATCATAGTCTCCTCTCAGTTCTGTGTCACTTGTTCTTATATAAGGTGATCTTGTCAACTAATAACAGGGAGTCCGGTGGCACCTTAAAGACTAACAGAGAAATCTGTTAGTCTTTAAGGTGCCACCGAACTCCTCGTTGTTTTTCTGGATGCAGACTACCAGGTGCTACCCCTCTGATACATGTCAACGAATGCTGCCAGGCTTGCTAATAAAGTCAGTTACTCCTGTTTTTGTGTGTTTACCTCATCCCACTAAGAAATCTGTCCTATAGATATAGATATGCTATTTTGCTGTAATTAACTTCCAAGGTGGCCTTCAGTGTGCTTCATTTCACATCAGTGTGTCTTCATGTGATATTTGGAACTACAGGAAAATATTGTTTGCCTGGCAGGTAGTACTTAACAGTTTAGAGTTAGAAACTGTATTTAGGGTAAACAAAATTCTTGATCTTAATTAAGCCTGGGGGAATTATGCACCAAAAAAATTAAAAATCTGCCAAAAAAAAATAAAAATTCTGCATATTTTGTCAAAATAACACAATATAATCTCACCAGTTTCAATTAGTTTTGATGATTTATTTCAAAAAACCTGTCAGCAAGTATGTGGGTAACAATACAGACAACAAAAAAGATTCAGGAAATGTTTTTTGACAAATAGATTCCTTACTAGGCATATTACTACAGAACTCTGAGTAATAATTTATTTAAACTACAATACAGAACTGTATTTCCTGCATCCCTCAGAAGCAGTGCAAAGGCTTGGGGGAGTTAGGAGTAATGATGGAGCTGAGGGAGAGGGAAGTAAATTGCTGGAAAGGTGCCTGGGTGTAAACTTGGAGGGTTGTTGGGTATGGGTGGGAAAAGTATGCAACAGGTATTTTTTGGGGTGTGGGGAGGGATTGTTAGGGAGCTTCCCCCATGTAGACCCTGGCTCACCCCTATTCTCTCCCATTCAGTCAGGAACATCTGTCCCTGCTCCTGTGTGTTCCTGCACCTCATGAGTCCTTGCACTCCTTGTCCACATGCCCCTCCACCCCCACTCATACACCCCCTCTTCCCATCCCCAGATGGCCCTGCTCCCCTGTCCCCATGTGTCTCTGTGCCCACACTCAGCCCCTCCCCTGTCCCTATTTGTCCCTATACCCCCATCTGTCTCTGTGCCCCCACTCAGCCACCCTTTGGCGCTATGTAGCTCTACACCACGTCATAAAAGATTAGGATTGGAAGGGACCTCAGGAGGTCATCTAGTCCAACCCCCTGCTCAAAGCAGGACCAACACCAACTAAATCATCCCAGCCAGAGCTTTGTCAAGCCAGGCCTTATAAACCTTTAAGGATGGAGATTCCACCACCTCCCTAGGTAACCCATTCCAGTGCTTCACCACCCTTGTAGTAAAAGTGTTTCCTAATACACTGCTCTACAGCCAAAATACTTCTGAAATAAATGTAGTCAAACTTTACTAATTCTGGATCACTGAGAACGAAAATGATGCTTAAAATTGTTGATTGGCTCTAGTTTTCAAAATATGCTATTGGGTCAGTATATACTACCCTTGACTTGGGAATGGCGGAGGATAAGTGAGTTATAAAGGGAAAGGATCTCAATTTAAACCAGAAATGACTAAAATACATCTTTGACTGGATCTATGAATAAATCTATGACTGGGTTTGGACAGTACTTGCTTTTTAGGCAAAACAATGAATGATGCAATCTGCAGCTGGTATTGCATCATACATGATATGAATTGCATCATGTTAGTCCTAGAAGTCATGGATGATGCATACATCACTCTTCTTAGCAAATTGCCCAATATCAGCTCTAGAAATCATACAGTGCAGTCCACGTGTCTGTAAGTTTTTTATTTTGCAAATGGACGCATT